ACGTTAGCTTGTAACGCAAACTACAATTGTAATAGTGAGACTGAATACGTACTTTTTTCAAAACGTAAAGTTTTTTATTCGAAGCGAATTTTTTTATTCAATGGAAATGTTTGCTACTTTCTAAACGACTTTATCTGTCTGTAATCTAAATCGTGTTTTTTTGGCATGCTGAGGATTTTTCAACTGAAATGATTCCAGAAAACTTTTTCTTTTAAAAATTATGCTCTAATTTTTTTCAGAAGCAGTTCTGGCTGCAGTGGGGTAGCTACTTTGACGGGTTACATATCAGTATTTAGACAACCGCGTATTCAGACTGGTCAGTATTTAGACAAATACTGTTTCAACCAATCAGAATCGAGACAAAGAAGAAATTAATAAAAAATTATTATTTATTTTGGATTATTTATGTCTTTTCTAGATTCTGATTGGTTCATACAGTATTTGTCTAAATACTGACCAGTCTGAATACGCGGCTGTCTAAATACTGGCTGCACTCCACTTTGACCTTATCAAAAATGCTCATTCAACCTTGAACATTTAGCGCAGAAAAAAAACTTGTTGCTACGTTACCATTAGAGTCGAGGTAAATCTGTCAAGACAAGGTCGAGGAAAAACAAAACTCTATCAAAACATGATTTTCTTTTTACTGCACATATTCCAAGTTTCAAACTTGGTTGAGATCACATAAAAGTTTTCAAAAGCAACGCAGGTATTACAGAGGATTAACCGTCTGCCAAATAAATTACTGATACTCGAATATCTTTCAATTTTTTTTTAGTTCTTTAGACATCAAATTATTGTGATTTTTTGAAATTTTTTTGAACTGTTCAAATCTCAAGGAAGTTAGAAAATCTATCAAGTTTGATGAATTAAGTGCACGCAAAATCTTTCGCTATAATCTTAGCAAAAACAATTACTAAACTGATAAGAGTGTGCAAATTTTGTTTCTAGAGATTTATTGTTCTATAACAATTCCTTGACAGTCTCAGACAAAAAGTTATTGCATGCATATCAGTTTGGGTTAATATAATTTGTAATCATCTGAGAATTCGAATAAATTTATTTGAGCACAGAGACAATTGGTTTGGGCGATAACGTTTCAGAAAAATAGTAGAATACAAAAAAGGGTATGCGTCATCGTTTTGAAATTCAGCAAACAAATAAGGACTCAAGTGGTTTTGAACTAAGGCAGTTTGTTCGTCATGTGGTTGATGGTACTCTTTTGCACAATTGTGCTCGTTATCTCTTCCTCTACAAGATCTACCTCAAGTTTAGCTATTTCGATTTGAACACAAGAAAATCATGTCTCAGCGGGTTTTGGCTGCATTTTTTTCTGGGCTCTAACATCAATTCACTTGAATTTGCCAGTCCACTTTTTCTATTTCAAAAAAATGTGTTTAAAAGATACTAGGTCAAAAGTCAAAATTTGCGAGATGAAAACAACACCGCACCGAGAACAAATGATTCGTTAAAATATATTTTTTGAAAAGATGGAATGTAACGAAGAAACAGAAAAAAACTTCAATAACTGCATAAAAGTCTGTGCATCAATACAGTTAAGTGTACTAAAGATTAGTTCAAGTTTTCAGATTGGTTGTTGCCTTAATAAATTTTAGTTAAAGAACAAAATAAAAGATTAAAGTGCGATGATTTTACTGTTTGAATAAAATCATTAGATTAAGACTTAAAATTACAAATAAAGTTTAACATGTACATGAATTTTAAAAATTTCAACCTTAAAAGCATCGATAAAATTATTTGGTGATATATAAAAACTTTTGAGCGGTTTTGAGCGGTACAGTGTTTTAGCTATTTGTTTGTGGAATCTAAAACAGCAAAAAATATCAAAAAAAAGTAGCAATGTTGCAAATTTCGCTACAAATCTGATTTTGGCCTGTAGCAAAAACCGCTAGAAATTCACAAAATGCACAATTTGTCATCGTAACGATCTTTTAAAGTAATGAATTCAAAGTCACCAAGTCTTGACAACAATCGAAATTTCAATTATGCTTTTGGCGTTCCAGTTACCACAAGATTGAGCAGTACCTATATTGAAACTTCGTAGGGCCAATATATTGCGAAACTCAGAATTATGACAAAAACAGAATTCAACATCTCAAAGTATTCTATAGAATGGGGAAGTACATCTTTTGGTTCATATGAACTAGTGTAAGCAGAAAACTTCAGAGTTTAAAATGTTTGTCTTCAGACTTATTTTGAAGCGCGAACGCTTCAGTTGTTTAGTTTTTTTTAGCAAAGCTAATTTTTTTGTACAAAAATTTTCCTTTTGATTGGGCATTTTGCTAAATTCCAAATTAACAACACGAAAATGGGGAACTGTCAAGGCTTTGAAAATTGATTTCAAAAGCCCTGAAAACCTAACTACTCAATTTTGCTTATGAAAAAAAACAATAACGAATAATTATTTTAAAAAACGTTGCTTTAATTGATTGATGGCAAAAAGTAAAAAGCATACGGGCTAAAAACTAAGTAAAATGATAGCCTCATTTAAGAGTTTTTGTTTTATTTTATTTTTATTTTTATAATATTCTGGGTTGACACCTAGTGAGCCTGTGTCTATTGCTATTAATCAGAAAATAGTTTGACAAAAGTTCGAACGTATTGATGTGATTTAGGATTTTTTAAATAATTATAAGATAGAAAATTTTTCTTTCATTCTTGGTTTTCTTTCTTTCTAAGTCTCTTTCTTGCTTTTTCAACTTTATTTTTTCCCTTGTTTATGTTGGCTCAGCAAGAAATGACCTAAACTGATTAATTTGGAACAATAGAGTAATTTTCAAAAACCATGTTTTTGAGATTTTTGATTATGAGAAGCGACCATTTGCGCAAATTTTTTGTTTCATTTAGAGAAATTGAAGTTGGATGCTATCTGGCACTACTTAGGGTCGCAACCCATAATAAAAAAAAAGATTTGAAACATAGTAGTCTTGAAGAAACAACCCGTTTGATTTTATAAAAAAATTCCCAGTTTTTTGTCTCTCCAACTTTATAAGTGTCTAAAAAAGTTATACCTCAGATTACAGACAAAGTAGCGAGTGGTGCAGTGTTATCAACAAAGTTGGGATAGTATATTTTTGTCTCTGAGGATAATCAGCAGTCATAAATTATAACGTTAATTATCGAGGCTCTCACTTTAATGTTAATTTTGTTTTCAATTGTTGAAAATTTGTACAGATGGAATTTTATACATGCTGATAACAGTCTCCATCCCCTGGCCTCATGTTCTTATATCAAAGAAGAAGAAAGAGTACTCCAATAACATCATAATAGTTTGTGCATCACAGCAGTTAAGTTTAATGAAGATTAGTTCAAATTTTGAGATAAGTTCCCCAATTATTTGCTTAGAAAAATGAACGAGAAGAGAAACAAATGATTAATGAAAAAAATGAAAGAAAAAAAAAACAAATGATTAAAATGCGATGAAATATCTTCTCGAAAAAAATTCAAGTCCAGACTTAACATTACAACATTACAAATAAAATTAGCACGTACATAACTTTAAAAAGTGTCAAGCTTAAAAGCATCAATAAAATTATTTGGTCATATATACAAATCTACTTATAAAACCGTAGCTCACGCCATGTATTTGTTTGACTAAATACTGGGTTAGATTGCTTTTCAGTACTCTAGAATTTTTTCATTTTTTTCAACTTTGAAATAGTCTTGTCAAAATTTTGGAACTCACCCGGCTAAAAGTTCCATTTTTTGACATGAGGCGAGAAAAAATCAATTTTTCAGAAATACAATTAGGCAGTGAATTCAATTTTTTTTCAGTGCAATGATAAATTCTGTAATCGGCGATTGGTAGTTTTATTGCATTTGCAGTAGTTTTCGTTTTATAAATAAGATTTTGACATAGATAAGTTACTCGTTTAATTTCAAAACTGCTTTTAATTCCGATAAAGGATTTGTTTTGACGCAGGTCGGCGGATGATATTAGTTTAGATCTGAAACACGTTTAACTTTAGGGCCCATTTCAACCGCTTTCCTTAAGATATGTGTGATGCTGCTTTAATTTCTTGTACAATATTGCTGTGTCAATGGCTAAAATATCTTTACATGTGCTGAATTACATATAAAACTTGCAGGTTCATTTCTGCACATTTGCGATTAAAGCATCTCAAAAAACTCCTAATGGTGTTACAGTACAGACAAAATTCGCCACCGATAAAAACCACCCTTCACAATAGCACACAAAATTAGGAGTCTGATGTATTTTGAATTCGTATTAGACAACCTTGAGGTTCATCTTATTGAGCCGTATTCTTGGGCTAATTTGCCTTTCTGTAAGAATTTTAATTACTTTGAAGATTTTCCATTTGGTTTTTCTTTCAGTCTATTCCTTCACTATTTAACCGCTCTACTATTTTTCGTTTTAAAACTTTTTCTTTTTCTGGATAATTTTCAAGTTTCTCTGAAAAGACATCATAGCAGTAGCAAGCCGGGGGAGGCAACCGTCACCCCCCCCCCCCCCCCCCTCAATTCAGGTTGCCAAAACTTTTCCAAAGACTCCTCCCTTTCGTATAACTTTACGACATCTATTTTTGGCTGACCAACAAAATTTTTCTAAAGGCGCCTTTGGCGCCAATATAACTAACTTTGGGGAGGGAGCGCGCGCCGAAAAAACGTAATTTTTTGGTCAAAATTTTTCGGCGCTTAAAAAAAGGTCCGCAAAAATTTCTACATTTTTCGAAAAACTACCCTCCCTCTCTCCCTCCCTCCCTCCCAAGGAAATTTTCTGCGCAGGCCACTGCATCATAGCTATTTATAGCATAGAATACATTTCAGCAACTGCATTTCAAGTATGGTAACAATTAAACATTTGACTGCTGGTGTAAGTTTTCAAACTACACATTGAAGGATGTTGGATTTCTCTATTACATGACTCATATATTACCACAACTGGACGTTACAAAAATCAATAGAAGCTGAAAAAAATTATATGCCATAAGAAACTAAACCAAACGGTTAATAGTACTACAGCGGCCAATTGCAGTTGTAAAATTCTATCAATTTTAATTTTACTATATTTACTCTTCATAAAATTAATGAATGTATGTCTTGCCTTAGTTGTTTGCTTTGATACATGAGCACATGAGCACTGTTTTAGAAGACGGCTCAAGATCGCGATCCAACAATTGTATTTTTTTTCTAAAAAAAAATAAGCTAACAAGCGGCAAACTCATTGCTCTGAAATTTTCTTAGTTTTCCTTTCAAAACTGTTTACTTTTCGCTCTTGGCTTTCTCAAATGGTAAGAATACATTCTTGGACTTTTTTCAATTTATACTGTTTTATTATTTTATAACATTCAGTTCCTTTTAAAAGTGGTCATATTTCGATTGAATTATAATCTGCAATTTTTTTTGAATGTTTTATATGCCAAAAACGTCTTTTTGTTGCATTGTTTTTTTTCCATAAAAACCAAATATAACGCTCTCTGAACGTCAAACACGGCAGCGTTTTCCATTCATAAGTGCTTGCATAAAATGAACAATAAATCACAAAATGCTCTTACACTTAAATATTAGACCTTTTCGATTTTTATTTCAACTGAAAATTTTGCACCTGTTTAAGATTTAAAATATTTTAATTGACTGACTGCGGTCAATCTATTTTTCGACTGTACCTTTTAAACCTTTGATAGTGTTTCAGATTTATTCATCATTTATCCAGCAAAACAGCCTTTATTACGCCATATTCAAGGCTCGGTCGATTAAAAATTGAGGATTGTTTTATTTGTTAAAAAACGTGACTTTTTGTACATCTTTTCAATATTGCTTCATAAAATTTTGATCAAAGTATTTTCAAGCCGGTTTCTATTCATTGTTCATCATTCACAAATACAGTTTTGAGCACAGCTCAAACCACAAAAACTACAAAACTGAGACAAACAGTAAAACTATCATTCAATAACTCGTGAATATCTCATATAACGATCTAATTTATCCGTTTTGCGTTTGTTTATGATGGTTAGTTTTGTTTTACCTTTTGCTAATCCGCTTGGTTATTGAAAAGTTGTTACAAATTGACTTAACTGAAATTTGCATTACGAGTCACGCTTAAACAGGCGGCCAGTCTTTTTAAGAAAAGTTTTCAAGTCTATCAAAGATCGCATGCTGTTATATTTTGCATAAATTTACATGCGTTAGACACATTAAGAAAGAAAAATAGACATTCAATGATTGGTTTTACTACACCCCCTATTGTTTTTAGTTGGAGTTTGAACTTAGTTCACTTTTTGAACATGTGATCAGATTACAAATCGATACGCTTGTGATTTTGGTCCACTAATATCAATTTTATCAAGATCTAAAATTATGCCGTAAATCTTCATCAATATTTCATCAGTCGATTAAACTCTCAAAAAATTCTCCGAATAAAAAATACAGCATTACGCAAAAATCATGGTGTTACTCGAACACGATTGTTACCAATTTATGACCAAAGGGTCAAATTTCCAAAAGGTCAAAAACAGTAGATCAAATGGCACGTCGTCAACTCCTCAGCATGGCCAAGATTTCACTTCCTTAATTCAGCTAAGCGGGAAAAAGTTCGCTCGAACTTTCAAACTAGACATTTCGCAGAATTTCATCAGCTGGTCCCCTAGCCGAAAAGGTACAAGATACGCTCAGTATGAAATCAGAAGATTCTCACGAATTCGCCGCGGACTCTTATCGATGGACAACTCCAACAATTTAAACTCATCAAGCTCATCTTCATCAGAAGGTTCGAGTTCAAATTACTATCTTCGTTTCGGCTTAACGATCATCTTTGCTAACGGGACGACTTGCGAGTTACTGGCTTCGAGCCCTGAAACCGTTAACTACTGGGTTACAGGGTTGCGATTTTTAATATACCGCAATCAGCAAACTACAAACTCCCATTTGCCTGTTGAAAAAGAAAGATTTATACGGACAGAGTTCAAAACGAAATCAGTCGGAGCCCAGAACCTTGATTTTCACAGTGCAATTGAATTGTTTCACGATTTGACGCCAATGGCCGACAGTTTAAATCTACCGGTTACGCTTGAACGTGTGTTCAAACACGGCAAATTGGTCTCGTGTAACGAATTTGTGGCTTTATACGACAACTTGACTGCGGTTCCTGAGATATTGGCGGTCATTTTCCAATATGGTGTCTCGGGTGATCTGGTGTTGACGATGAACGAACTGGCTTCGGTGTTGCCCAATGAAATTTCCGAGGTCGCATATGGTTAGTACATCGTTTTGTTTTATTGAATATGATAGGTCGGATCCATAGTTTTCCCCTATCATTTCTATAAGCTAAATAAACAATGATAGCCGGTTACTGAGCAAGTAGCTCAGAATGTTCCTACCATAGTCGTTAAAAACTACAAAGTTTTTTTTTCAAAGTAGTCTTTTTTCTGCGTGGTGTGATAAAAGAATCTGACGTAAAACTATAGTTTAGGCATATTCGACAGTCATAGTAATAAAAGCATTTTGATGATTATTTGTGGTACTTGATGATTATTTGTGGAAAACAAAAGAAAAAAAAACTCGCCCGAATTCGAAGTCCCTCCACATTTTTCAAATGGTCTGAACAAAAACTAATTTGTTGCGACAGTTATGTTTTGGGGATGCTCTAGAATAGCCATGCGTTTTTTAGGGGTGCTATCTAAATAAGGCGACAGGATATTAAGACGACAAAACATTTAGACGACAAATGAGGGTTAAAACATATAAATTGAACTGTTAAAGCTTACGCGAATTCTATATCTCAGAAATACAATAAGGGGAATAAAAATTGAGATGAAGCGAACAAAATTTGAGAAATAAAACGCGCTTTTCTGAAACTGGGCTATATTTGGTCAAAAATTGAAGAGAACAAAAGTTGTTCAGATTTCACCAGAGTTAATGAGGTGCAATTTTTTTTTGCAAAACTCGGAACCAAAATTTTACCCCAAAAATGGGTCAATTTTACTTTTTTAGTTGATCAAGAATTACGCTAGAACTACCGAGTTGTTTCATATGACAACTATTTTAAAAAGAGTCTTTGACACGGCTCAACAAAGTTCTAAAAAAAGTTCCTCGAAAGTTTGCACAAAACGTTTGAATTTGTCTTTATGCAAAGATTTCGAGTTTTATATCAGATTTTTGGCTATCAACCGAAAATGAATTCTCGTATACATGTTTTCGAAGATTTATTTTTCTTGATAAACTAAAAAAAGGTAAAATGACCCATTTTCGGGGTAACGTTTTTATTCCGGTTTTCGCAAAAAAATGCAGCGTTATTATGTTGGTGAATTTCTCAGCAAGTTATTCTCGTTTTTGTCTATTCATAATCCAATTAAAAAAAAATCGTTTAAAATTTCCAATTTTGTTCGTTTTGTCCGGGCAATCAGCACTGTATGTGAGTTTTGAACCAATGTTTTTTAAAAAAAAAGGTTCTACAATTTATTGTGACAATTTTATCAGACAAAAATTCCCTGACAGTTCTGAAGCCAGTCAAATTAGTATCAATTAGCTTCTCATGGACAAATAAGTAGTAATTGAATGATATTTATTCAGAACAAGTGTACCTGATTGCTGTGCAACTAGCATAGATTGACACTATTATACTAAGTGCACGGAGCGGTGCAGCAGAGCTTCGCATCACTTACGATGAAACCGAAGCAAAGAATTGTAAGCTAGCTTTTAGAAAGTGATTAGGAAAAAACTAAAAGAACTAAGTGGAAAGGAGAAATTATTTCAATGATTTTTTTTATAGAAAAGCGAAAAATACAACCACCAGCATTAAAAATGCTTTTAATATTTACCTACCGGCCGCTAAGCCAAGAATACGAGGGTAGACACCCATTGAGTTGAAAACAAAAATCGATGACAAATTGTTAGTGGCATTTTTATGACGGAGAGACCGAATGATGGAAAACAAATTTCAGCCTATCAGAATTGAGTTTTCAAAATTTTGAAAAAAATTGCCATACTTTCAAGTTAACTAGTTAAGTCCAAGCCATTATGGAATTGATTGATGTTGAATTTATGGAATTTATCGATGTGAAAAATAAGTAAATGAATTTTCAAAGATTGTCAGATTTGAGACGCGTTAAAAAAATTATTACGCCAAGAATACCTATCCAATAATACCTATTATAATAAAACATTGAACAACAAAACAGAAAATTTAGTCGATATATGCACTAGTTGCACAGCAAAACTTGAATTTACAGCCTAAAGTCATTTTCTACTATTTTGAATTCGATTGCGCAAAAAAATTACCTTTAGCGAATTGAAACGTCTGACAGTTTTGATTGGTTGAAATTTTTCTATCACTCGATCCCTTCATGAATTGCCGCCGAAATTTTGTCTCAAAATTTTTAAGCAATGAAGTTTTCGAACTTCAAAATTTCTACACGAAAATGTATCTGAATATATATATTTTAAAATAAACAATTTATACATTTCAAACTACACTTTTACCCTTCAAAATACTTGGACGATGAAATATAAGCCGAAACAATCGTTAATTAAAAAAACTTATTCAAAATTCCACTTGCAGATTCGTCAGAAAAGTTGAACGCGGGAAAATTGTCTAGTTCCCGTTTACAAAACATTTGCTCTCGCAAGTGTAGAAACAAATTTTTTTAATGACCTCTTTTCCAAATTGAAAAATGTTCTGAAAAAACTTCTCGACCGCGAGCAAAACTTCCGATTTTTTTTTTGGATTTGAGAAACAGAGATCTGGAATTTGATTATTAATTTTAAATTTGAGAACTGAAATTCGTACTTTTGAGACTTGAAATTCATTCCTAAATATTTCAATATGATAATATTGAATCATCTAAGATTATGATAAGATGTTAAATTCCCTATTTGCCCTTTAACAAAAAGCTCTTCAAGTCAATCTCGATTTGTCTCGGATTCACCTTCAACTAGTCTCGATCAGTTTTAACATATTGACGAGAGTTAAAATTTTTAATTTGATTTGGTGTAAAATTTGACCAAATAATTACAGTCCGAAATATTCAATTTTAATTATTCATAATTATTTCAGGCGTTGCCAGTGAGAGTGCCCTGTCTTCCTTCTGTCGAGGGGTTGTGTCGTCGTTCGAAGTTGTTCCAGAGTACCGGCAGAACTTACTCCTAGGAGTGGACGGACTGGCCTCCTTCTTTTTCAGTCGACACTGCTCTCTAGTCGACCCCAGACATCTCTCAGTGCACCAGGTGCGCATTTTCTCTTTTTTCAAAGTAAGATGCAAAAGTGACTAAAGCTGCTGGCGACAAAACTGTAAATTACAAGACACTTCAGATCGTTTTAATTAACTATTTATGTCAAGGTTTTCGAGAAAAACAGGAGTTTTCAAACAGGTTCAAAATTTTTGAAAGTTCTATTTTTTCTTGTTTTTTTTTAAATGTTTTCATTATACAAGCTTAATTGAAAACATCTTTCTGGACGCAAACAAACAGCTGTATTAAAACATTTAAAATATTTCTAATTCCAGTGAAAAATTAACTGCATCCCTGCTGAACAAACTTTCTGTTTTACTACTTGAAAAATTCGTTAAAATATCGTAATTCGCATTTTGATTTTTGCAGACTCCACAGTCCTGAAAAAATACAAGCTGGCAACACCTTTAGAAAGCCGGCGATATCCTTTGAGATTTTTTATTTGATCAATTTGATGACTAAATTTTTCGGAACAACTGCACAGACTTTAAAAAACAAACAGACTTACATTAACTATCCATGACTTCACTTCAGTAATTTTTTCTGTTGTGTATGTAGGACATGAGTCGGAGTGTGAGTTGTTACTACGTGAACAGTTCGCACAACACATTCCTCACAGGCAGCCAACTACTGGGGGAGAGCAGTGCAGACATGTACAGTCAACTTCTCCTAAGGGGTAAGAACTGAGATAATAAGTTATGGTTTGATATCAGTATTGACCCACTAAATATATCATCGGATTCATAAATTTAACGAAAGTTGTCGGTTGCTAGAGCAGGTACTATAGACTATTCTGATCACTGCGTTCATAAAAAGAATGGTAAAATTTGTATTCAAAACGAGGCCGTCTCTCATAAATCAAAAAAATTGCAACATTTCTATGTTGAAGTTTACGAAAAGTTCAGCTGTGAATAATTTTCTGATATCTTCAAAACAGCGTAAAAAAGTGAATTATCAGTTCAAATTAGCGATGTTAGAGCCCTGCTTGGAAGACAAATAATACTAGACTTCATGAGCGTATCTAGCTTGTCGTTTTATATATAGAGACTTCATGAGTTTATCTAGCTTGTCGTTTTATATACCTTTGATTTTTTTTGATGACGCGAAAGTGAATTATAAATCTACACCATCAAAAGTTGGCTTTAAAACTTTGAAAGGTACAACACTTTGGGAAACTTTGTATAATGGTTTTTTTCTAAAAACACCTCAGTATATAGATTTCACAACAAACTCGCTGACGAATCGCAAATAAGTGAAGCCCATAGCGATTGTTGAATCGGTGATAATGATGGTGGTTTTATTTGCTGATATTCGCGAGGCGACAATTCATCGCACGCGACAACTCGTAGCATTTTAAAAAAGCGACATTTCGCACCAAGCGACTATTCGTTGCGGGCGACAATTAATAGCAAGTTCTCAATGGCTAATTAGAGTATTCAATACAATAATGAAAATTGCGCGACGACTATAAAGGTGCCTTTTGAGGGATTAAAAATTAACGAGTGGCTAAAATCTACGCTTAGCAACAGCTTTGAACTGAATACCAAATTGAGATGAGTTAACAGGTGCAAAAAGAATAATTGGAAATTACTATCCCCTTAAAGTCTTTGCTTCTTTTTATTCGTTTTATTCAAATCTCATGTTTCATCCCACGATTGTTACCCTTTTAAATTCCAATATCCCCTGATTTTTGTCATCAGCAAGCGCGGCAAGCATCGATTTTTTCAGGATGGCGAATGATTCAAGCTGAACGCCATAAAAACGTCACAAAAAAATCCAGCTGGGGATATGTAAAAAGACCATGTAAAGCTGCTAATACCACGATTGAAGACGAAATCATCAAAATTACTGGAAAACAGAGAACATGATCACGGAAATATTGCATACAGGGAGGAATTTGATAAATATGTACAAATCTTAAACATGTATCATTGAAAAAAATATTTGAATCGTCTTAAGAAAATTGAAGTTCAAACGTTTGAAAAGCATGATTGATGGATTTGCGTTTTGATGGGGAAAACAAAATTTGCGTGGGAGAACAAAAATATAACCCCGTTGTTAGACTAATTTTTTGAAACCCAATGATTTTTTCTGGGGTAGGCTAAAAAGTTTTGGCGACCATTTGTCAAACCGTAACTTGGAGGTGAAAACTTGCTAATAGAAGAACGGTAGAGGTAAAACCTGCTTGATAGAGAGAAAGAGAGAAAAAGCAACTTTGAACTGCGGTATATGCCGGGAAAGGAGGAGAGTTAAATATTGATAGTTTTATGTACTTTCCCAAATACAAATCTATATCCAGAACTGTTCAAAGGCAACGAGCTACCAAATTTGCTGAAATATTTACTATCCATGCTGTTGTGAATGCGCAAACAGTACGCCTTGTCTGCTTCCTTCTGCAAACAAAAGAGACAATTAGTACATTTGGGCTTTCACAGCTAAAAGATATTAGTCTGAGTATTGAACGTTCCCAAACAGTGGTAGATTTTGTGAAGGCATTTGTTAATTCTTTTTAAAAACGGTTCAACGTCGTCACTCGCAAAGGTTGCTTTTATTTTGCACAGGCAAATTGGCGCAAAAACTGAGAGCTTGGTTTGGCCCGATTAAAAAAAACAAGATAAGGAAGTATGCACAATCCTTAAATTGTTTGTCGCTCTGGCTAGCATTCCAGAGCTTGATTTTGAAACCGGTGCCACTGCCTTATGCAGTGAACTTTGCCAGGAAGACAAATCCTTCCTATTGAACTATTTTTAGTTTTTCGAAAGAACGTGGGTCGGAACAATTCTTCGTGGGCGCAGTGGGCAGGAAAAATCCCATTAGTCTGTAAAATCAATACGAGAATGCTAGAAGTGGAAAAAAGGCCAACAACTTAGCTGAGGGCTGGCACAGGGCATTCCATATGTGAATAGGGTGTGCCAACCCCACATTTCATAAGTTTGTTCAATTCACGAGGAAAATAAGTTTGCCCTCATTAGCACCGGTGAAGGTGCTGCCAAGGTCATCAATCATGAAAAATCTCAATATTGATTAATGAGCAGCTAAAGCACTAAAAAACAAGAATTTTCCAAAACATGTTCAAGGGTTTTCGTTCAATTTGATTGCAATTTTCTAATTCAAACCTATCATCTTTTTTTTTATTCAATCAAAAGTTTTCGGCGCTACTATTTGTCGCCTGCAAAGATTAGTCGCTCGGCGCACTTTGTAGCCTCTTATAAATGCTGCCAGTTAATATCAACTCCGTGCCGATGTTATTATAATCTGTTTTGGTTAAACCTGAGTATTGGAACCGTTCTTGCTTTTTGTGAGATTGAAGAGTTATCGAAGCAGTCATGAGAATTTTAAATTATAAATTTTTCATTATACATTTTCGAAGTACTTTGAAGTTCAAACGTTTGAAAAGCATGATTGATGGAATTGAGTTTTGATGGGGAAAACGGAGTATGCGTGGGAAAACGGAGTATGCGTGGGAAAACAAAAATATAACCCCGTTGTTGAACTAATTTTTTGAAACGCAATACTTTTTTTTGGGGTAGGCTAGAAATTTTTTGTCGACCATTTATCAAACCTTAACTTGGAGGTGAAAACTTGCTAATAGAAGAACGGTAGAGGTAAAACTTGCTTTATAGAGAGAAAGAGAGAAAAAGCAACTTTGAACTGCGGTATATGCCGGGAAAGGAGGAGAGTTAAATATTGATAGTTTTATGTACTTTCCCAAATACAAATCTTTATCCAGAACTGTTCAAAGGCAACGAGCTACCAAATTTGATGAAATATTGACTATCCATGCTGCTGTGAATGCGCAAACAGTGCGCCTTGTCTACTTCTTTCTGCAAACAAAAGAAACAATCAGTACATTTGGGCCTCAGACAGCTGAAAGACATTAGTCCGAGTCTTGAACGTTCCCAAACAGTGGTAGATTTTGTGAAGGCATTATTTAATTCTTTTTAAAAACGGTTCAGCGTCGTTACTCGCAAAGGTTGCTTTTATTTTGCACAGGCAAATTGGCGCAAAAACTGAGAGCTTGGTTTGGCCCGATTAAATAAACAAGATAAGGAAGTATGCACAATCCTTAAATTGTTTGTCGCTCTGGCTGGCATTCCAGAGCTTGATTTTGAAACCGGTGCCACTGCCTTATGCAGTGAACTTTGCCAGGAAGACAAATCCTTCCTATTGAACTATTTTTAATTTTTCGAAAGAACGTGGGTCGGAACAATTCTTCGTGGGCGCAGTGGGCAGGAAAAATCCCATTAGTCTGTAAAATCAATACGAGAATGCTAGAAGTGGAAAAAACTTAGCTGAGGGCTGGCACAGGGCATTCCATATGTGAATAGGGTGTGCCAACCCCACATTTCGAAAATTTGTTCAATTCATGAGGAAAATAAGTTTGCCCTCATTAGCACCGGTGAAGGTGCTGCCAAGGTCATCCATCATGAAAAATCTCAATATTGATTAATGAGCTGCTAAAGCACTAAAAAACAAGAATTTTTCAAAACATGTGTAAGGTTTTTCGTTCAATTTGGTTGCAATTTTTTAATACAAATCTATCATCTTCTTTCTTTTGATTTACTCAATGGTTTTTGGCGCTACTAGTTGTCGCCAGCGAAGATTAGTCGCTCGGCTCAAATTGTCGCCTTTTATTAATGCTGCAAGGTAATATCAACGCCATACCGGTGATATTATTATCTGCTTTGGTTATACCTGAGTATTGGAACCGCTCTGGCTTTTTGTGACCTTGAAGAGTTATCGAAGCAGTCTTGAGAATTTTAAATTATAAATGTTCGTTATACATTTCATCGTATCGGTGTAACGAGTTTTCCACTCATTGTCTCCAGAAGAACCTTATCAAATTTTTCAGTTGGTGGCAAATGCTACATGAGTGAAAGAAACCTGTTCGACCTGAAGTATACGATCATAATACTCTTTTTCTTGCAGTTTTTATGTGATTGCAGACAATCTAACTTTCTGGTCTGTTACTTAGGGCAATCGGGTGCCTAAATCGGGTGCCGTTGTAGGTATAAGCTTGCATCATATCTCTGGTTCTCATGTTAAAGAATAAAGATCTTAAATAAATTTTAAAAAAGTGATTGCACTATTTAAGTTTTTTTTTCTTTCGCTTCAAATTTGCCTCTTTGACCTAAATCAATTATTGAACTTTTTGATCTGATGTCATATGATGTTATTCCTTTACGAGGCAACCTTCAACAAGCCTCTCGTTGGCTTTCTGGTTGTCCTATCTTGAGTTATTTTTGAAATTTTGCATATTGTGTTATGATAATTTGATTACTCATGATGAATATTTAAATAAATAAATAAATAAATATCAACAAATTTTTAGAAGAGTCTGCGATTTTACCAGAGTCTGCGACAAGCTAAATTTAAGGATTTAAGGCGTGCATTGTTTTTGACACTCGATCCACGCTCAAGATTTTCATTCCCAACCAGCGGAATGAGCGCGGGTGCTATTTGTACATCTTTACCCACGCTGCGCAGAAAATCAGCTTCAAAATCACTTACGACACTGTGACGCTTGATAACGAAACTTCCGAGACTGCAGGTTAACGAATGATCAGCATCATTCGTTTTTCCACTCTCGCTAGTAAAAACCATGCCTTTCATGCGCCAATTATAACGAGTCCAGATGCAGATAGTATCTCTGAATTCATCGTAGTCGAAATTTTGATCTATTGATTGTTTACATTTAAACCATACAAAATTTCCTATTGGGATGAGCAGGTTAGGTCTGCGCTTTATATAATTGTCTATTTCCGTATGAGATTGTTCTAGTCATTCCTCTGAAGCCTGTCGATTGTCAGCCGAAACTTGTTTCTCCTTTCCTCGTTTTATTCATCACGATCCGTTTTTGCAACGCTCTTTTTTTAATTTTCTTGTCAGTTTTTTAGAGTTTCAAAGAACATTTTGCTTTTTTGATTGTTTTTAGGAATGTTTAGGACATTTTTGACCAAAAAAAAATCTTTTTTATCGGCGCGCGCTCCCCTCAAATTTATATAGGGGAACGCCCTTGCACACCATGTAAAGAAAATTAGTGCGCAGGGAGCAATCCTAGAGACCATGTAAAAAATCTCGTCTAACTCTCCCGCCACAACCGTAAATTGGTATTTGAGTCTTTTCACTTGCCATTAAAATTTGATTTATCGTTATTTTCATATTCTTTTTGAATCCTTTTTTAAACGTTTAATTTGACGTTTGAAATCAATGATAATTATTTGCAATGATTCAATGAATTTCATATCGGAAGAAAACTCATTGTGTGTTCATTTTTTACTGTGTTTTGACAGGTGTGCGTTACGTGGAGATAGATGTGTGGGATGGGGAGGACGGACAGCCCTACTGCAACCATGGCTACACCCTCACCTCACGCATTCCATTCACACACGTCATCCAAGCTATCAACCAATCCGCTTTCCTCACTTCAGGTCAGTCTGTTCATTGCTTAATTGCATCGACCACGTTATGGGCAGGAACTTTCGATTTGGTGTGGTCGAACTTTAAAGGGCCGTACAACTTTCACGGCTTCGCCAGAACATACGGAAACTAAGTTTTCTTCCCACTGATACCGTTCAATGAGAGATAAATATCACAGTACTGAATCAAATGTAACAGCATATCAAATGGAACAATGCTGATTTTTGATATATCAGAGATACTCTTTACTTGAGAAACTGAATAAACACGGGTTTGAGTTCTATACTTTTGATCCCAAGTTCGCTAAACCTTGCCTCTACGCAGCCACGTTGTTTCCACGTGTGAAGAATATACCGCAGGTCTCAAAGTAGAGTATAGTTTTTCAAAGGGTATATTCAAAACTGCCAAGGTGTTTTCGGATATCACCCTGAACCATTGGTGATAAAATTCTAAATCAATTTGATCAATAAAAACGATCAAGTACTGCAAAATTGATGCACGTTTGAATCTATGAACAAGGATGACTCATAGTTGTCTAAGTTTGACCAATGTTACAGCTCTCCGTTTTTAAACGTTCTAAGTTCTGCATTACTGTAAAACTGCTGGAGCAGCACCGATTTTTGCTTTCCGACCTCAACCCGGTTAACATTGCCCAACTCTTTTTAGTCTATCCTGTAATCATTGGTCTGGAGAACCACTGCTCCCTGGCTCAACAAGCATCCCTGGTGCAGACGATGCTGTCTATCTTCAGAGAAAAGCTTTTCATTCCCAAGGAACACTCGCCCAGGTAAGCTAACCAATTGACCGTGTTTTGTTTATTGAATGGATCTTAAACTGAATAAGAAAGAAACCTTGGCGTTTTATAAACTGGAACTTTCAGTGTTGAGTTAAATGGATAATTGAGATAAACCCTTCATATTTGTGGAATCTTGTTAACTATTTTCCCATATTGCAAAAAGAGGATATCGTTAAAAGGTACAAAGCTCACATATATTTAGCCGTTAAATTAGTTCTTTATAGGGGTCGCAGTTTTTACCTCGTACTATTAGGGGGGACATAGTTAATAAGATCCATTTTTGTTTCAGCGGTGTCAGCGTCATGGACTTGCCTCTCAATTCACTCTGTTGCAAAATTCTGATCAAGAGTAAGAAACTTGGTCGAAGCGGAACAAGCGACACTTCCATTCCCCACAGCAAAAGCGACGGATCCCTCATGCTAAGGCGCACATCGACAGACGATGAAATGAATAAATTATGCGACTCGTCGATGTCGCCAACCTACGATGACAATTCGTGGGGTGAAGTTAGTGATGAAAACAGTGCTGATGAACTGAGTGACATTTACAAAGTTCAGCCGAGTTTGCGGAGGAATGACATGAATGAAATCGTGGAGGATTTGGGGTCATATGATCAAAGAAGGTACGAGCTTAACACTGTGTAGTTGTTTTTTCTTTAATGCCTTAATTATTATTTATTGTTTGTTGAAGTAAACTTTTTCAAAAAGTGTTCACCCTGAGAACTACTGGCCATTACTGAACAGTAATATGAAAAGATTTGTCCAAATCTTAACGAAGTGTCCATTATCCAAATGCGATCTTAAATTATGGAAATAAAATTATATAATTTTTTTAGAAAATAAATTTTTCAGTTCACGGCACAGTAGATTCCATTGTTTTGCATCTTTTTTTTGTGAATTCATTACGAAATCAAACTGCGTTTTTTTTAAATTGTGAGCGGTTTCAGGCTAATTTTTTTTGATATTTTGCTGCTTTGGATTTCGCGAACAAATAAGAAAATCGCTCCAAAAGCAGCCAGATTAGTGGAATCCGCAACAAAATTTGCGGAATCGAGAACACTTTGTGGAATTCACAAACAAATAATAATTTTAAACAAATTATATTTCAGAAAGCAGCACCTTCTGCAAGGAAAGACACCCACCATCGCGCTATCTGCAAAATTCTCCAAATGCGTCGCCTTGAGGTCGAACTCAATTTCCAAACACACTCTTCGCAAACTAACTGCAAGCATGGAAAATTCAATTAGCAAATCGCACTGCTCAATTTACAATCTACCCGAGAACCAAGCTGTGCATTTGGTGCGTGAACAGTACTTACAGTTACTTTCGTTCACGCAAAGTAACCTCGTTTCCGTCTCGCCCTCACCCACTCGTGTTGACTCAAGCAATCCGGAACTGCTGCAGTTCTGGAATGGCGGCGTGCAAATAGTAGCGTTGAACCAGCAAACTGAAGATCGCGTGAACAAAATGAACAGAAGTATGTTTGACGCTAACGGTTCCTGTGGCTATTTTCTAAAACCGAAACTCCTGCAATCTGACGTTTTAAACGAGTCACAAGAATTCAATTGCACCAAAACAGTGTCTATATCATTTCTGTATATTTCCATTGTGGACCAAATCGCAAATTATGACGTAATGAATCAATCTATGACTTCATCAAGTCACTCGCTGTCCAATTGTTCCTCGTCAAGTCATTCTACGGCGACTTACCAACACGAATTCTCTCTTCGAATTGAGATTCAAGGTCACCCCATCGATACTTGTTCATACTGCTTCTCGTGTGGGAGTAAAGATGAATTGAAAGAGGGCCTAAAAGGGGTCAAACTCGAGTACCCTGATCTGGCGTTTCTCGGGTTTTCGGTGGCCGACGAGACTTCAATTCTGAACAGGAAAACTTTATCGGACTGTTATGTTCCGGTCTCTTCCCTCGCCCAAGGTTAGATTTCGATGTTTTTTCTACCCAAAACTCAAAATTAACAAGAAGTTAAGAAGTTTTATAGTCGGCTTGTTATAAGTTCTTGTTTTCACGCCAAATCAGATACCTTAAGCAATATCTTGGGGGTCGCCCAATTTGTTATATTATTGTCTTTTCGTTGGTGATTGGATCTGCATTTTCATGATGTGAAACAAGTAGCGCCAGTTAAAATGGTTTTCTATTTTTCGCTTTTGACTTACAATAAAACTCCATAATATGCAATTAATAATACCTAAATATTGAGTTTTATTTAATGTTTTTATTAAGTTTTTGCTATTTTTATTTTTTAACGGTTTTTTTCTTTTCGGTGTTATTTTTGACCTCATTCAGTCTTTCATGTGTTTATGCAATTTGAACAGACGTAACTTTTATTTCAGGTTTCCGATCAATAAATTTGTCCGGAAAAACACCCGTGTCTATTCTATGCAGGGTTTCTATCGAAGAACATGTTCAGGCCAGCAAGACTAACCAATTCTCGCTAGGCATTCTCAAGCGAGCCTCCTTCATCAAAAGATCTCTGAGGGGATCTTTCCGGAAGTCTAACTCGACCCCACATCATTACGACATCCCTCCCACACTTTACGAGAAAGCCGATCGAAACTTGGAAGCAGTAAGTGATCGAGACAGCGGGTTCCTTAGCAACTCGTCAATGAACTCGCCTTCTCGTGTCGACCGAACCGAGTCGCCAGAAACACAAAACTTCCCTCAAATGAAACCACAGGGTAAAATATCTACTGAATCTTTTTTCAGAAACAGTTCGACTAATCAGAAACAATATTTAAACGTGGATCCTTCCTCAACCGGGAGTCAACCAAGGTCAAGTTTTGCCCTATCTGAACACGATAAATTAAATATAATGCTCGAGGAAGCTGCGAAAGCCGAAGTTTTGCTCTCTGCCGAGCATCGAAAAGCGAAAAGTCTTTCGGTGTCCGATGACATGTTATCTTTGGAATCTGAAAATCAGAGTAACAAGCCAGCTCTGCCTCCGAAGCGATACCAGTCGTTCCGAGAAAAACGCACGGTTAGCGAATCGGATCAAGGAATGAGAGCCAATTTCGGCCATGGTGACAGTCGAATTAGCGAGAAAAACAATCGGCCGACTTCTATTCAATTTGATAGAGTTGCGAAAGTTAACGGTTCAGCAGGCTCACCTCAAACTTCATACAGAAGACCTCAAAATTTTCTTTATTCGGTGGCAAGTCCGACAAATGAGCAGTTGTATAGAGTAATAGAAGAGTCAAACGTCGAAACGGACGAAAGTTTAAACCAGTCCTCAAAATCTACAGAATCAAATGGAGGGACCCCTGAAAAAACGCCGTTCATGCGCTTTTCAACTGGATTGTCTTTGGACAAACTGGAGGGAAACGGTAGAAGGGCCACTGGCAGGGATATAGTGAGAGAAAGGTGGCACGGTTCTAGGTCTATGACGACAGGATCTCTCAACAGCGGTCAATATAATCAGAGAAGTTCAGGGAAACAGAAGTCAAAGTAAGAGTAAAAAATATGTTTCAAACAAGATGTTTCATAAAAATCTGAATGTTTTGAGCGGTGGTGAAGTGGTTGCGTCTCCGCCTATCAATCGAATCGAAAGGTCGGATGTTCGAGGCCCACCATGATCCGTGCACGTTGCTTGAGGGTGAGGCAACATTACCCAGCCCAGAAAAATAATTTATAAAATTGCACGTAGTTTTTAAGCAAGGGCACAAGAGCGGTTCGCCGTGATGAACTGTACAGCTCGCATGTTCGTCCTTTCCCTCGTGGGTAATTGGTCTTAATGGTTTGAGGAATTTTGGTTTTTTAGGAGTTTCATTAAATCACGAAAAAATCTCAATCATCATTAAGATTAATTGTACTCGATTGTTCTGCAACTTGCTCTACAAATATAGCATTTACTGCGGATTTTTTTAAAAAATAGATTCACCGAAATTTGTCAAATTTTCGAATTGTTTCCCTGTTGTTTTGAAAAATGATAAAAAATAAAATGGGAAAATTAAAAAAAAAACAAGATTTAAAAAAATCCCTCCCCACGTGCCATGTGAAATGATGCGTTAAGTTTGCCTCAGTTTAATTTTAAACAATTTCTGCACCATAATAAAACCGCTCACGCGTTAGGAAGTATCCCAAATTGGCTATATTGATAACTTTCAAACATCCGTTAATTCAAAAATTGTTCACAAACAATTTGAAACAATAATGGCTAGTTAAAATTTGAAGTTGATCTGAAAGAAAAAGCCACACCAAGCAAAAATATTTTGCCACTTTTTTCGAAAAAAGGAACAATAATGAGTAAATTCAGGTAAGTTGAATCTGATATTAGCCAATTAGCTCGATTTTTGTTTATTATGATTTTGTTTATTCTCTTAACTAGTCCAAAAATTAACAGATCGTTTTTTACAACACCCAGTCAACTCAATTTTTGAAATATGTTTGTTGAATTCAAATCACGGTTGAAAAAAAAAATTATAGTGAGCGCTGAATGAGCCAAATTATTTTTTTTTACAAGAAACGGGAAGCAGAAAAGTAAATCGAATCAGGATTTTTCATTTCAAGCGCCAATGAGCGTAGAGGTTTAGGGTCTAAAATAGTCCAAAAATTGTCAGATCAGTTTTTTGAGACCAAATTTAGACCCAGTTAACTCAATTTTTGAAAGATATTTGTTCAATTCAAAGCACGGTTGTGTTGCGAATCATACCATTCGTCTTATTACATTTAATTAGTCTTAAAGTATTTTAGCTGGTTAATTTAGATTTGACCTTGTTATCTTCATTCTCTCCGTCGGAGAGAATGATCGCTCACTTTTTAATGTTTTAATTTAGAGATTAATTCACTTTTTAAACATATCTTATTTGTAACTAAGTAGAATTATCCGTAACAAAGAAACATTTTATCATGGCGCAGTCAAACAGCAACGAATCAAACGTGAGAGGTATACCTTCATTTTGGCAAAACCACACAGTGGACCCACGAATTCCTTGGGAGGAGTGAAGCGATTTATTCCAACTAGCAATAATCGCAAAGGAGAATATTGATATCGAAAATCTCTTGAATCCATCGGAACGATATCACCCACTTCCCCAACATTGGAAAATCCGCCGGAAAACAAATCCGACGCTCAAAAAACATCTCGCATTGAGAGGAATATTCGAGAACAGAAGAGGTTCGATGACAAAGAAATGGCCTCAATAAAGTCAGAAACTAAGAAATTCAACGGCATGAGACTTGAAGAGGCGGACAAAAAACTCAGATCCATACTTTATCTAGCCCTCGGAAACGAAGGAAAGAAAATATTCGGCCAAAAGTTCACGAGAGTTAAAGTTCTACAAAATTCTTTCAAAGAATTTTGGGAAAATTTGTCCATAGCTTTTGTGAGAAAGACAAACATAACCTTCAAAAGACACAAGCTATTAAACAGAAAACAGAGGGACAGAGAATCATTAGAACAATTCTGGGGGGCTTTTGCAGAAATGGCAAAAAGATGTGACATTCCCACAGAAGATGAGTGGATTCGAGATATTTTTATCAATAACATGAAGAACTCGGACATCCAACGGAAACTTCTCACGGAAACCTTACCTCCACTAGAAGCCTTAAATGTAGCCCTGGTTGACGAAAAAGGAATAACAAACCACATCAAAATGACGAGTACTTTTAAATCCAACGGATACTCTTCCAACAAATCTTTTAATCATTTTAATGTAAAAAGAGAACCCACCCTAAACATCGAAAGAACTAACACATGTATGAAATGCGGCGGAAATTTTACCAAAGGACACCTGGCGGTTTGCCCCGCTAAAGATACGACTTGTACGACTTGTAAATATCACGGACGTTTTACTAGACTCTGTAAATCACGCCGTAAAAATGTAAATATTGTGGATAGTCAAATTGTAAATAATACATATTGTAATTATCCTTCGAAACAACCAGATGTAAATATCGACCGCGCTAATAGAGAATGCTGCGGATGATTACTCTTCAGTATTAAACGTAACAACTATCTACGACGATCAAGGAAAGGAATTGAAGAAACTATTAAATATTGGCCTAGGAAATGAAAACCAAGTAATTCTCAATATACAGGTGGATTCAGCTAACCCTGTAAGCTTCTTTAAACAGAATGTATTACACGAGTTGAAGTTACGAGACCCTTATGTGAAAGTATATCCAGTGGATAAAGCGACTAAAGAACTTTATTGCGGATTCACGAACAATGCAATAAATATCACTGGAAAGGTAATCGTTCCAATTTTCTCAAATGGATGGTCTCACAAGGAATGCCACTTCTTCCTAACACAAGGCCACGAAATAAACATCTTGGGAAACGACAATATACCAAAAGTCGGAATCGAAGTTTCACAAAAACAATACACAACACTCACCAACAAGAGAACTTGTAAGTCCATCAATTCAGTTACCTCACTTGACATAGATAATGAAATAGACATGATTTCAAAAACTTTCAAACAATTATTCCTTCGGATTGGAAAAATAAAAAACCAAACAAAAATAACACACTTTCACGAACCACTAAAGCCAATTCAGCTAAAAGGCAGGAGGGTCCCTTTACACTTACTGGATTCAGTAAAATCAGAATTGTACCGACTCAAATCCGAAGGATATATCAAGAAATTAGAAAACTGCGATGAGGACAGATTTATTATTCCGATAGTTATCACTTGTAAAAAAGACAAATCGATAAAGTTAGCCCAGATTCAAAATTTATCAACAAACAAATTTACAAGAACAAATACCAGATGCCCAATATACACGAATTAGTGGATAATGTAGCGGCTCAAATTTCAAACAATTCCGCCGGAGAAGTATGGTTCACCAATCTAGACCTAAAAAATGCATATAGTCAACTTTCGCTAGGCAATTTTACTAGCAGCCAATGCAATTTTAGCCTAGTTGGCGGAGATATAACAGGCACTTATCAATTTTTAACCGGTTTTTACGGACTCGGCGATATGCCAAACGAGTTTCAAAGAGTCATGGAATCAACTCTGGGAAATATTCCTTTACAAATTGTTACCTTGACGACATATTAGTCGCTTCCAAAGGAAGTTTTAAGGACCACAAGAAAATTGTCTATAAAATTTTATCAACGCTAAATAGTTACAATTTCGGAGTTAAATGGTCGAAATGCAAATTTTTCCAAAAAGAAATCGAATGGCTCGGCTTTAAAATATCGAAATCCGGAATCGCCCCACTATTCGATAAAACCAAAGCAATTAAAGATATCCCAATTCCAAAAAATCTTAAGGAATTAAGATCATTCTTCGGGTCAACTAATCAGTACATTAAATTTGTACCAAATTTAGCATCCCTCGGAAGCCCGCTAAGACCTCTTTTAAACAAGAAGTCGATTTTCCTTTGGAATGAAGATCACACAAAAGAATTCGATAAAATTAAATCAGAAATAGTCAATCTTACAGAAAACACCCTTTTCGACGTCAAAAGGCCCACGAGAGTAAAAACTGATGCTTCACATAACGGGTTAGGTGCATCCCTTGAACAACTTCATGAGAACGTTTGGAAAACAGTGTCATTCGCTTCAAGATTTTTAAATCCTCATGAATCCAAATATTCAACAAACGAATTAGAGCTATTAGGAGTTGTATGGGCGGTGGAACATTACAAAAACTATCTCTACGGCTCTGAATTCGAAATTATTACCAATCACAAAGCCCTCCTTTCCGCTTTGTCATCTAATTACGGAAACAAAACGTATCATAGCCGATTGACAAGATGGGTAGATCGCCTTTTACCATTTAATTTTACTATAAAGCATTTAGCGGGAAAAGATATGGGTTTTACCGACTTAATTTCAAGAACTCCTTCGGGTAAAGCAATTCCCCCATCACATTATGACGAAGAATTCGTAGTTGCAACTACCAAAAAAATATATAACGCACTCAATCCTTTGGATAACGAAAATTCATTACGTAATTCAATTAGTTCAATATCGGAAAATTCCCATTACACGAAATTACGAAACCACGTAATAATTACAGCGTTGAATTTCGTCAATTCTTCCATTTCAATCTGCAATCAAAAACACTATAGAACAGAATTTTGTAACTCTAAATGATTCCCTCGAATTTCTCAAGCACAGACTCTACTAAAATCTTTCTATCAAATTCAGCCTTTATTTATTTTTTAATTCTTAATAGTAGCTTAATTAGTAATCCTTCGGATCTTAAACTTACAAATAGTGTAAATATGTCAAATAACCAAACTGTAGTAAATCCTCCCACTTCCGGGATACAGGTCTCAATCGATTTCCAAATTTTCTCAGAGCACAAAAAGTTAGTAGCTAAATTTCGCAAAAATCTCAAATTACCTGAAAGACCTTGGGATTTAAATACATTATTCAATGCAAAGTTGGTCGCATTACTAACGGAAGATGATGAGATGCTAAACCCAATTGTGAAGGCTTTACAGAAAAAAGTAAAAAACATCAACGCAAATTCCCGTTACTTGCACCAATTTTCGAAAGACCTTCATGAATCCGACGGACTATTATATATGGATGGAAAATTGGTTATTCCTTTTACACTTACAAACGCCGTTTTAAAAACCTTACACGAATCCCACCCAATTCGGTTTGAAATACCTGGCACAATATATTTGGTGGCCTCATATAAACCGACAAATTTACTTCCACGGGATTAACTGCACACAATGCACCCAAACTGGTAAGAATATAAAAAGCATCATGCCTACCACATAAATTAGCGAACTTCCCGCTTTATTTGAACCTAATGAGGAATTAAACCTCGATTTTGCCGGCCCATTAGATAACACCTGGGGAAACAATAAATACATCTTATTATGTAAAGATCGTTTTTCGAAATTTCCTTCAGCTAAAATTACATCTTCAACGTCATCAAACACGGCAATCGAATTCCTTCAAGATTATTTTTATCTCCATGGGATTTCTAACTCTATTCGTGTTGACCACGCATCCTGTTTTACTAGTCAGGATTTTAAATTATTTTGTAATTCTTTTAATATCAAATTAATATTTTGTACAGTTGGGGACCATCGTTCTAATGGTCTTGTAGAAAAACTTGTTCATACTGTAAAAATCAAATTATTAGCAATGTCTTTAGAACAACAAAAACCTACATTACAAACTGCCATCTCGAAAATCATTTGGAATTTACGATCTTCCTTTCAATTAAAAATAAAATGTTCACCGTTTGAAATACACTTTAATAGAAAACCGAACACGATCTGGAAGCAATTGGCATCTAGTAAATTATCCGGTGGATTTTTAGACAAAGGGAAGTCGATCTTAAGCAGAGAAAGGGCCCTTGACTGGAACGCTGACGATCGGATAGAGGACGGATACAAAGACTCTCTTGTACCGAAAAAGAACCAGTCACCATTGGGGAAAGGCTACGATTCGGACCATCTTACAACTCCAAAACCTTCATCTTCCCGAGTGTCCTTAAACAGCCCGCTTAAAGGTAATTTACTACGTAAAACCAACGGAAGTATAAACGGAAATCCCTTCTATAAACAACTGGGTCAGAAAATAATAAACTCAACAAATTCCACGGTTGAACTATCCGACGGAAAAATAATTAGAAAATCGGACATCGCCATCCCAAAGTCTAAATCTTCTACAATCCGTTCATTCAAAGGAAATATCTCTTTTCCCTCCTTTTCTAACAATGATTTACAAGTAGGTCCAAGAAAGACCAACAAATCGAAGCCACAACAGACGCGGAAACCAGGCCCTAAGACAGGACGACATACAAAGTCTCTTACCCCGGTCACCACTAGATCTAGAGGAATAAAACAACCTATCAAACTCAACAAATCGAAACGAAACCGAAATAAAGCCTCGAATTTGAACACAGGATATTTAGCAGGTGATGAATCCATGTTCATTCCGTCGGACACGTCGGACATAAGTGATTGGGAATGGATTGCGGGAGGTTTTCCATGCAGAGAAATGATAAGAAAACGCTTCTTTTCGGATAACCACATTTTTAATGAAGAACCTACCCCATCATTAGATCCTCAAACATATCAAACTAATATAAAATCTGAGATTTTAGACGAACAACTCCAATCTACGGATACAGCGGAATGCCCAATTAGTATAAAACCAGCACCTCAAACTACCTCACACCCACCTGGCGAACCTTATACTGCTACGACAACGGAGGGCCCAAACACTCCTTTGGATTTAACAAAAAAACTGGAGGGAGAAAATCTGGTCGAATTTCCAGTCTTTGAGATAGAAGACTCCTCCGACGAAATTACGATTACTGAGGAAAGGCATCCAAAGGAAAACACTATCACTGGTAATGATTTTAAATTAAGAGGTTCGTGTCGAAATGTTCGACCCCCACAATTCTATGGTAAACGATTTTACATAGATTTTGTAGACGAGATCGAAAACCAACCAGGCTCCACAAATAATCCAATATCTCTGGACGAGGGCGACAGTTCGGGCTCCTTCACACAAACCATCAGAGAAAATCCCTCGGATAACCAGGCACACATTTACGACATCCAACCGGAGGACCGTGCACCGGGCCCAGCGTGCTCCCCATCTTCTGATCAAATCTCCATTGCCTCCACTGACGAGTCCCTGAGAGATGCGGTGAATAGTTTCGACAACTACATAGACTTAGACAGCGAAATTTTTAACGCCGAGCTAGAAAAATTCATGGAAGGGGACAGTTAAACAAAATCAAAAACTTGAAAAATTGCATTTAGACATTGATAGTCTTACTAGTGTTTCGTTTCAGTGCAGTTAGAGTTTACTTATTTTGTAACCATGGATTATAATCCGCCGGAATTAGGAATTATATCATTCTTTCTAATTCAGTCATTCCTTCGGAGCACTAAAATTCATTTGTTATATCGTGCAGTATTTAATTTTCAATCCTTGTTAGACTTCTCGAGAGGAAGAAAAAGGGTTAGATATCATGTTATGTATTATGGCGCTTAGTACTTTAATTTTTTTCCCACTAAGGGGAATGTTGCGAATCATACCATTCGTCTTATTTCATTTAATTAGTCTTCAAGTATTTTTAATTGGTTAATTTAGATTTGACCTTGTTATCTTCATTCTCTCCGACGGAGAGAATGATCGCTCACTTTTTAATGTTTTAATTTAGAGATTAATTCACTTTTTAAACATATCTTATTTGTAACTAAGTAGAATTATCCGTAACAAAGAAACATTTTATCAGGTTGAAAGGAACTGTTTAGTGTATTCTGAATGAACCAAATTATTCTTGCAAGAAACGGGCAGCCAAAAAAAATCTCAAATCAGGATGTTGGATTTTTATGTTCAGTGAACGTTTTGTTTTAGGTCCTAAATTAGTCCAAAGATTATCAAATCAATTTTTGAGACCAATTTTAGACCACTCAAATCATTTTTGAAATATCAAAGTTGAAAGGAACTTTTATAGTGCGAGTAAAGAATAAGCCAATTTTTATACAAGATTGGGCAGCAAAAAATAAATTGACTCAGGATTTTTTGTTCTTAGTGTCAATGAAGGTAGTGAAGACACATATAAGTAGTGTTGATTTCTTTTTTTTTCAAAAACAGCTTTACAATTAGTTCATGCTCGAGTTTGATTGTTCGCGGTTCGAGTTTTGATAACCTTTTTTTATTTACTTTGAAATCATTTGCTAAAAAGAAGGAAAAATATGCTCTTCAATTGAGAAAAAGGAAATGGCTCGAAAAAACGACAATGAGTTTTAGTTTCGAAAGTGGATTTAAAGTTTTAGAACTCGCAGCGGATTAAAAATTTACCTTTATATCCAATTCAAATTGGGCTAGTTTTAATGAAAAGTTTCCAAAATAAAGTATTCTTGATATTCAGAGAGCTTTAACTTAGCAGAAATGCTTTAAAGTAATCATCCATCCCTTTTTTTAGTTTGATTGAGCTCATTGGCACTCAGGTTGTGGCTCGTTTCGTGTGAAATGAGCAAACACTTTTCAATTTTTTTGCTTTTTTTTCTGAATATTTTGTTCTGTTTGCAATGTAACCGAGTAATTTTTGCATTGTTAGATCTAAAATATTTTCAATCTAATGGTCTGTTTTAGGTACATGAACTCAGCTGCTATTCAAAAAGCGGGATCGGCTAGCAACAGTGCGGCAATGAACCTCGAAGCAGCTTTCAACCTCCAAAAACGTCCCCCAATCCCGCCCAAAAACTTCCTTTATAAAGTCGAGTCAGCACAAAACCGAAACGTTCACCCGAGAAGTCTCCATCAAGGTTTGGACCCCCACAAAAGCTACTCGTTTATAGACAGCTTTTGCGCGCCGAACGACCAATCTGACGACGAAGAAAACCAGATTGTTGACCTGACCACGAATTCTGACTATCTCAACCATTCTTCAAAATCGGATCAGAGTTTTCTGAGTCCTGGAAATCGGAGCGATACTACACGTTCAGGTAGCTGCGGTGATTATTCTCCTGACTTTTCTGCGCGTGAAGGAGTTTTGAACCTGCATGAAATGTCAATTTCACTTCCTGTACCTGTTGAGTCGGTCAACACGAGAAATGCCGTCAAGAAAACTCTCGAAACTCACAACCAGCAAAATTTGCCTTAATTGAACGAAATAAATTGATTACTTTCATTTATTGATAACAGATAATTGCAATTTTTATTGATCACTGCGAATCATTAACTGAGAAACATGTTTTGTAAAACTCCATTTCATTGAATTTTTGTTTCACTAAAACTTTTGTCGCAACTGATTTTGGATTAACAGTCTATTTGCTCATATACTACAGTTATGTGTAATGTTGCAAAAAGTCTTTTTGAAAATCGGTTTGGAGCTCTTGAAGAAACTACCGCCTGTACAACACATAATCTTTGTTGTCAGGGTTATCAGTGGTGACATACCGAACAGAGATCTTAAGGGGGGGGGGGGTTGAAGGGTAATCGCCATGGGATGCTTAAGATTCTTCAAGGGGGGCTCTAGTCAGTCCCATTAAAAAATCAATCGCGTTAGTACCAAAAAATTTCAATTGGCCAAAAACTTCAATACCGACAGTTTTAGGTTCTTGATTAAAGGTCGCCGTTGCGCTCGCTATGCACGCGTCACCGCTTCACTGCGATAATTGGCTTCATTGTTTGTAAAGAGTCCTACCCTCTATAGGCAAGCTCGCAGCGAATTGGCGCGACTGCGGCGGTCACTATTCTGCTGTTCATTTTTCTGCTGTTTGAATATTATAAAACTAATTTAATGATTCGTCCTATCACGATTAGGCCAATCAGAAATCGATTTCAATAATGTTGATACAAAAAGAACCAATTTTTGGTACAAATGATACTTGGACAAATGGGACTTCACCGTCTAGGCAGTGTAACAATAATGCTACAACTTTTGAATAATGAACACAAAAAATGAACTTAATGGGAAATATTAAGAGACAAGATATTATGAACAAGAATAACCGGTTATTGTGTAAGTAGCACAGAACATTCTAACCATAGTCTTAGATAGAGATGCAAAAACACAAAACTTTTTCAAACTAGCTTCCTTTTTTGTGTGGTGTGATAAAAAAGATCTGAACGATAAAACAGTACTGAAACTTACTCGACAGTCATAATAAAATAGGCCAATTAGAAAACAGTTTCTCTAGAAAAATGACTAGAAAAAAAATTGCAGAAAACATTTCAAAATTTTCAGTATTTTTATAAATTTTGAAGCTTTTGTTATGTCCAAATGCCAATATATATATATTTACTCCAAAAAGTAATGTTAATTGAGAAATGCATTTGTTTGGCTTATATTAATCATAGACAAGCTATTGAAAGCCTAGACGTTCACTTAACTAGCTCAAAATTAAAACCTAAATGAAAAAATCCAAATCGGTTTTTCTCAACAAGGAAATTTTTTTTTGGAAATTTTCCAATGTCGCTCAAATCACAACTGTAAAAACTTTTATATGATATACCACTCAACCCAGTCTAATGATTATTGTTACCACCTGATTTTGCGTGGAAAACTAAAAAAAAAATAGAAAAAATTATATACAAAATTTCTCCCAATTTTTCAAATGGTCGGAACAATGACCATTAGAATTAATGTATTTAATTATCAAATGGTTTTATTTGTTTATCGTACTGACAGTTAGATACGCTGTTTTTGTCTAAAACTCACTTTTTCCGGGAGAGAGGCAAATTGTAGAATCAGTCATCTAACTCAGCTTCATTTGAAAATTTTTGAGGATTGATTCTCTAACCTTGCGTGCTCAAACCATTGTTCCCGCAATCTATGCTCGAAATCAATTAACACAAAAAAATTAACATTTTTTTCCGAAAGTGGTTTTTTTTGTAGATAAGTTCTGTGTTAGTGATTGATTTTTCACCAACCGGTGTTAACTGCTTTTGCTCAAAACCGCTTTTAATTGCTTTTGCTGTAGTGTCTGACAAAGTAGGTACCCAAGACATTCAACCGTGAGGATACTAAAACCAGCAAGTCTTGTTTGTTAACTAGGCTATCTTCGTGTGCCGTTACCTACCCGGTAAAGAAAAAATCTGTCCATTTATTGAAAAATTTGGTACAACCAACAACCGGACGCTATTTCGATCAAAGGCTGAGTTTTCGGACAAATTGACAGGTGGTAAAAATCACCTAAGCGAAAAGCTTGCAGAGAAAGACAGGAATATTATGAATTTTTGTAACGTGAAATAAAATCTATGCACTTCAACTCATAAAATTAAGCACATTTAAAAACCTTATTTTGCAGCACATGACTAGCAGTTGATGATCGAAATGGGCTAGTTGTTGTACGGCCAACAATCCTAGCTTGCATATTACAAATAATATGTTATCTGCAGGCAAATAAATACTTTTATTGTTATTGACAGTGCTCAAACTTACAACAGTAGTTTTTTGTCTTCGGCAACACCTGGTAAAAGTAAACGACATGTGGTTTTAATGTCTCTTATTATTCCAAACTCCCAATAATGACTAAAAAAGAACGAATTAGATAAGATATGCCTGTAAAAAAATTTATCAAACGAAACTTTTCGCCTTATTGAACGAAAGAAATTGAATACACATGAGGATGACGTTAGCGATTTTGAGCGGCAACAAGAAATAACAGCATAACTTTTCAAACGAAACTTTGGTTCCGAGATAGAATTTTTTTTTTAATTTTCATTTTCTTGCAACTTTCTAATGAGTAGGGACGATATACTCTAATGAGTAGGGGTGATATACTCTTTTTAAATGTTCAGTCTTTGAGTAGCCATCTTGACCAACTAAAACTTATTGTTGCATCCATAGAACGGCAGCAACTAGTCATTGCCCTTTCTAAAACATCGTTAACTAACAACGACCCGTTGGATTTTTACCATCTATGAAACTATCGGAAAAAAAATTGTAAATAGGCAAAAAGGCTCATTTTTTAAAACCAAAAACAACATAGATTTTCCCCACAAAATATTTTTAAATGTAATTGGGAAAACTCTGATAATGATACGAAAGAATTGTCAATATCGTTTAAAAGTAACGCGCACCATCAAAAAAACGAAACTTTTTTTTTCGCGCAATTAGAAATCTTACTTTTGGTTTGGAGTTCGAAGCATGGTCATCAATCAGAGGTGGTTAACGATATGAAGTTTGATTCTTAAGATATTTCACGTAAAGCTCGAATAATAGTTTTAATAAGAACAAATTTATACCTAGTAGCAACAAGACAAACTCACTCAAGATCTTCTTGCTTTAATTTTTCAAAAGTAGTTTCAATCTGACCTTAGATACCTGGCAAACATCTTTAAGTGATCATTGAGTTTGCTTGCATCTACTGCAATTCATGCAGATAATTTTTTTATACAACAAAACCAAAGAGCATGGTTTACCACGGATATCATCGAAATGTGTAGGCAAAGAGATACTATACGTGCCAAAATGGCAAAAAAATTTCACAGGAAAAAACTGGTTGCTTTCGGAAATTCAGAAAAACCTTAAAATTGAAAATCAAGACTGCACAACAAAGGTACCAAAAATAAAACTATAAGCTACGCAATCATCTAAGCAGAGGTTCTAAATGTGTAAAAATTCCTGCGGAAGGCAGATAGCATCTCAGAAACGGGATTGAACCAAAATTACAGACCAAAATAACAAAAACACAGATCAAAATCACGAGATTGATCCAAAATCAGTTTTTTTGAAAACATAGGCAAACATCTTAACGAGTCCATGCCCCCATCTGATTCTGCTAGATATAATTTGGAGAAAAAGCAATAAAAAAAAAAATTTGATTTTTTTTTCACAATTTTAATGCCATACGCATCGTTAAGTACAAGTAAAATGATTTACATCGATCACAACCTTAATTAGATCAATCAGCGTGCCTCAACTCAATTTGGAATAATTTCTGCGCTACATTAATTTACGGTAGATCCAATGAGCTAAAAAAATTTCACATGCTTTAATTATTTCAAATTTGCCAAAGTAGTCCCAATTTCTCAACCCTATCTTAATTTCATGGAAAGTTAATACAGGTTACATGATCTTTTAGGCTGAGGCCCAGGTCTTTGATACGTTTCAAATGGTATCAAAAATGGACTGACCCTAAATGTTTTCTAAAGGCCCTAAATGTTTTCAATATATACTAATTTTAAGGGGGAGCGCATGCCGAAAAAATGCGATTTCTTGGTCAAAATTTTTCAAAAGTGCCTAAACACGCCTGTTTTGTCAAACATTTTTAAAAATCCGCCCCCCCCCCTCTCGAGAAAATCCTAGATCCGCCCTTGTAACTATAATTAATCAGAGTAAAAACGGAATTGAATTTTTTCTGAATTTCTGATACATCTTTTGATATGTGCTGCTCTGATTTTTAAGGTTGGCGGTGGTGTCCGAAATACCAAAAAATAATATGGCAATACTGCCACTGAAAAACTCTTTGCCATACTGTGTTCGTATTAAACTATGCAACTATTCTGGCTACTACCGGACTGGGCCCGACCTCAACTTTGTCTTATAAGCCCTCGCTGATGTCCCTGCATGAAGCATATTTCTATGAAAGTACTTTCACGACAGAAACGCGCTCATATTATGAATCTGAAATTTGTCCTGAAAACAACATCTGCACTGATACCAGGGGCGGATTTAGGGGGGGGGGGGCGGACGCCTCCCCCCTCAGGGATTCGACCCCCTGCCGACCCAAAGGGTCCCCCCTTTGATACTTTTTCAGAAATCCATTTTTGGCCGACCGACCCTAAATTTTTTCAAAAATTGCCCAAAAACGGCTTTTTTGACTGTTTTTTCACAAAATAGGGGCAAAACAGTGCTTGGGGAGAGCTCGAAAAATCAATTTGGTCGACCTAAAAAAAAAAAAAAAAGGTCGTCAAAATTTTGGAAATTTTGTTGAAAATCCCCTCCCCCCCCCCTCGAGAAAATCCTAGATCCGCCCCTGACTGATACATTGACTGCAGGTACAATTAATTGTTCTGGCGATTTTGGAGGGCCATAGAAAGAACTGCGAGCACCAATTAAAAAAAGGTATCTATGGTGAGGCCAGTCATTATACCCATGGGTATATACCAGTCCGAGAACTTTTCGGCTCATCGGTTAAGTCTCACAAATTGTTTTGTCCAATTGCTAAAGCTGGCCAATTTTGTGATCACATTGACATCATTGCAAGTGCGACACCATCAGGATACGACTGCAGTCGTATCTTGATTGTGAT